TGTGGCCAGGATCAGGGGTCAGTCTGTGGTCAGGATCAGGAGTCAGTCTTTGGCCAGGATTAGGGTCATTCTCTGTCAAAGGATATGAACAGGCGGCAGCTAGGTGGCGCAGTGGATAGAACACCGGCCCTGAAGTCAGAAGGACCTGAGTTCAAATCCAGCCTCAGACCAAACACTTGACACTTACTAGCTGTGAGACCCTGGGCAAGTCACTTAACCCCAATTGCCAAAAAAAAAAAAAAAAAAAAAAGGATATAAACAGGCAGTTTTTGTATAAAGAAATCAAAGCTATGTATAGTCATATGAATAAAAAACCTCTAAATTATTATTGATTAGAGAAACGCAAATTAAAACAAATATGAGATATCATCTCAAACCTATCAGACTGGCTAAACTGACAGAAGAGGAAAATGACAAATGTTGGAGGGGATGTGGAAAAATTGGGACACTAACACACTGTTGGCGGAGCTGTGAACTGATCCAGCCATTTTAGAGAGCAATCTGGAATCACACCCAAAGAGTTATAAAACTGTGTATGCCCTTTGACCCAGCAATACCACTATTAGGTCTCCTTCCCAAGGTAATCAGAGAAAAAAGAAAAGAACCTTTACGTTCTAAAATGTCTATAGCAGCTCTCTCTGTGGTGGCAAAGAATTGGAAATTGAGGGGATGTCCATCAGTTGGGGAATGGCTGAACGAGTTGTGGTACATGAATGTGATGGAGTACTACTGTGCTGTAAGAAATGAAGAGCAAGATGACCTTAGAAAAACAGGGAAAGACTTGCATGAAATAATGAAGACTGAATATGAGCAGAATCAAGAGAATGTTGTATAAGTGACATCAATATTATTCAAAGAATAACTGTGAATTACTAAGTTACTCTGAATATTATAAATATTCAAATCAACTACAAAGGTCCTATGAAAGAAGATGCTAACCACCTCCAGAGAGAGAACTCATAAACAGAAATATGCATAGTATGATTTTACATATATATGTATGTATATATATGTATGTATGTGTGCATATATATGTACATATATGTGTATATATATATGTACACACACACACACATATATCCATGTCAAATGGTGGCCTTCTCCAGTTGCAGGGTGGGGAGACAGGGAGCCAGTTTGGAATTTAAAATGTAATAAAATTAAATTTTAAAAAAAAGTAAAAAAAAAAAATGTAGTCTGTGGTCAGAGTTAGAGGTCAGCTAATAGTCAGGGTTAAGGGTCAGCTCCAAGGGTGGGGACTGTGTTGTCTTCTCGTTTTCCCCACATCATGGACCAGGCACAGGCATGGGTGCCCAGTCCCCTTGGGCAGTCTAGAGACGCGGACACAGTCCCAGCCCTCAGTGTGGGGCGGGGCCCAGAGCCTCAGACACCCTGAAGCAGCAGAAAGACTCTCCACCGGGTCAAGGCTGAAATGAGGAAGAATTCCTAGGATGGCAGAGTGAGAGCTGGAAGAGGACGCAGAGGCCTTCAGTTCCAAGCCCCTCCCTCCGTAGAGAACACTAGAGCCCCCTGAGGGAGAGTGACTCCTCTAAGATTCACACAGGCAGGGAGAGGCAAAGCTGAGGTTCAAACCCAGGGTTTCCTGCTCCAGATCCAGAGGCCTTCCCCCAGCCTCCACAACCCACACTGCCTGGCCAGAGCTCTCTGAGGTTGGGACTCCCACTTGGGCCAGTGAACTGACCACAGAGAAAAGCTACCATCTCCATGCCCGAGAATGACCTCAAATCCTCCTCATGGGCCAAACTCTAATCCTGGCCCCTTA